GTTAAGCCTGGAGATATGTGTGTTGTGATTGGTATTATTAGAATACATGTATTAATGTGCACAAAGTTTTCTGTTCTGTCTTCCCCCCTTTGGTTGTTAAAATGTCACTTTTGAGAGCATTTTATAATAAAAGGATAGAATGAAATGCCAAAAACAAAACATTTTTCAGAATTGCCTAATGGCAACTTTGAAAAGTATTTAGTTCGGTGCCCTGAAATTCCACCCTGAGGAGTTCAGTTTGACATTATCTACTTGTCCCGATTACTTTCTGTGTCCATATTCAAAGGGTTCAAAATCCTTTTGCATACATGTTCATTTGCAAAATTTGTTCATCTTGACTTTAGTTGGTAGTCATTAAAGAGATTATTATTTGTACCTCACCTTCACAGGATTTTGTGTGGATTAATCCTGTTCCTCTGCCTCTTTGGGACAATTCTTGACATTGTAATTAGTTTCATGAAGAGGCCATTTGTACCTGTCAGCAAAACTAGTGGCTTCATGCCAATCAGAGATGATTCTTTACCAATACTTCAAGGCCAGGGGTCTGATTCATTTGCACAAAGTCACCAAAGCAGTGTTCACCCACCTTCTGATGAGATAATTGGTTCATCCACCAGATTGACAAGCTTCCCTTATCAGAAAAATGAGCCTAGTAAGTTTAAAGATTATTACAATTGTGCTGATGTGTAGTCATCACATGTAATAGCCCAGTACAATAACTTTCTTATTGGTAAAGAAGATAATTAAATTTTGAAGAAACAGGAAGAGGAAAAAGAGGAAGAAGAAGACAAAGATCATTGTGATCAAAATTAAAGAATTGGGCCAGATGTGTCTGGGAAACAGCAGTTTTGGCCTTAACCCTTTAACTCTCATGAGTGACCAAGACAGAATTTCTCCTTACAATATCAATACAATATCAAGCAGACAAGTGATGAGAAAAAAGAAAAATATCAATTACTCAATAGGGAATTAGTAGTTGATTCAATGCCAAATTCTCCAAACTAACATCACAAGAACCATATGGCAGACAGTAAGGAGAATTACTAATAAGATCTAGGGAGTTAAAGGGTTAAAAAACATGGATTTCCTTTTTTTTTTTTCAAAAATTTAGTGGATGCACAATGCAATTTAAAAAAAGAATAAGTAAGTTGCGGTTAAGCTACAAATTTTTGCATTTTTATGAGAATTTAGGATTCAGTGCATGTTACTTTTCTTTGGTCAGCCTTGGTAAATTGTTTTTCCTTTAACTAGTTAGTTTTTATGTTTTTGAGCATAAGTAGTGAAAACATCCTATTTACAACATTTTGTAATCCCTATTCACCCTTCTTTTTATAATTGGCCAATCAAAACTTAAGGGTAGTGTGGTTGCATGTCCTAAGATTTATTATAGAAGTATATGCCAATCTTTTGGAGGAGAACAGTTGTCAGTGACGGCACAACCGATGTCTCAACAAAGCCGACACAGAACTTATTGTAAGGGTGGGGTAACTATACGTTATATACCCTTAAATTGCTGACCTAGTTTGTCACAAATTTTCCAAAATTTCTTGTAGATATGATTGTGCAGTTTTTCCTGTGTTTCTCATTAATTCAAAACACAAGCCGTATTATGGACACCAAAGTCTCTACCAGTGCTGTTACGTCAATCAATGGAATGAGAGTGATGAGTATGTGGTGGGTGATCCTGGGACATGTGTATGCTTTCCAATTAGGATCCTCCATTAGTAAGTATTATTATTTTTTATTATTATCAAATACATTGATCATAAAATTCCCAAATTTGGTTGATTCTGTTATGTGTTTGTCACTCAATTGGCCAGCATAAGGGATTATAGTGACAATTCAGACTCATTTATCATCAGTGGGCTTTCTTTAATTGCAGGTAACTTTGTGTTATTTTTTCAATTACTTCAACGATTTACGTTTGAGGCTATTGGGAATGCAACGTTTTCAGTGGATAGTTTCTTCTTTCTGAGGTATGTTGTGGTCAAAGTGTTTGTATGAGGAAAAATTTTTGAAAACGATAAATATTGCATAATAATACCATTTAACTGATTTCAGTTTACAGTGCTGACCTATTATCATATAAATCAGGGCCAGAGGCTACGAGATCTCTTGTTAGAAAGCGCTTTTTAGATAAAATATTCAAGTTGTAAAACCAAAATCAGAGAGATAACAAAAGCCCATCAGAACAAAGGAAAATATCACCCTGAGTCTCTGTCACTCAAATAAAGAAAAAAGCAACTCTCCTAAAGTGCGGGAAAACAGACTTAAGTCACCAAGACACAAGTGGCTTCAGTTTTTGGTCTCATCTCGAGGTGATAGCTCGAGTTTTGAAAACCATTTGTGGAAAAATGTAATCCAGAATTGAAACAATCTTTGTTAAGTTACTCTTCACACTGAATTGAAAATTACTTTGACGTACAATTTAAGAGGTTTCTCAGAAAAAGTTAGAGAGGATGCTCAATTTTCGTCTTTACCTCTTTGTTTAAAAGTGAACTATGAAACGGAAAGGGTTTTTTATATCAGTTCCAGTGCGAAATTTGGTTTAGAAGGTGTCCCTCTTTCTCCTCCCGATTCTTGTTGAACATATGAGATAGATTTGTGTAATATCTAATGTGTACAACTGTGCTTTTTTTTCAGTGGTCTCTTGGTTTCTTATTTGTCTTTGCGTCACATGGAGAAGAAAAATGGACAGCTGCCACTCTTTAAATACTACTTCCATCGTTTTTGGAGGTAAGTTTTTCACTTCAAATTGTTATCTACTGATCATGATTCATCTGCTTATACCAAAGCTTATTTTCTTGTCGTAAAACCATAGACCAGGCAACTAATGTAATAACGGCAGAGCTGGTCACCAACGAAAGAAGCTCTTGATTGTTAAATAAATTCTCTTTGTCAGCACCATAGGAAATGTAAAGAGAACAGTATAGAGAATGAGCATACTGAGCAGAGTGTATAAATTGGGTTAAACCAGCTGTTGGTGATGTATTAACAATACTGCCAAATCGTTCCCCAGGTTAACTCCAGCTTACATGTTCGTTTTGTTGTTTTACGACAAACTGAATGGATTTCTTGGTGACGGCCCTTTTTGGTATCAAGCCCAGGAAAAGAACCCGTGTGACAAGTACTGGTGGACCAACTTACTCTACATTAACAACTTCTATCCAACTAGTTTTGGTGCATCGGTGAGATTTATCTGCCAAGATCTTGTCAGTGATTCTTCCCACTTGTTGCTATACATTTCCTTGTAATTTAAGAGAAAGAATTTAATTTTACATCAAGATTGCGCCCTTAAGCTGATAGGTTTCGTAACCCGTATTACCTTTTGGCCAAATATCGCTTTCGGATAATTGTAACGTATTCGATCTTTTTCTGAGTCAAAATGGTTGACACGCCATGGATTTGAAAAATCTCTGATGAGCGCTCCATCTATCAGACCTACGTTGTTCAATTTAGCTAATTTGCTTAGTTACTAAGAGGCTCCTTACGTTTTTTCCTGTGTACATTTATAAATCGATTTATTTTTTCCTATTTTTTGCAGTGTTTTAACTGGAGCTGGTACCTAGCAAATGACATGCAATTTTATATCATTGCTCCCGCCGTTCTCTTTGTGGCGTACAGGTATGTACAGTCTCGTTCTCAGTAAAAATCGTTCTTGGTGTCTCACTGAACAGTATACTGGTTTGCAAGCAAATTTAAAAGTTTATATTTTTCCTCCAAAAACTAATAGACCTTGAAGGTCTAAGTAGTGTTGCAGAAAGATGTTTTATCGTCATGTCACGAGTGTTGTACCAAGAATGATTCTGAGTTCCTGTGAGGAATGGAATTTCAGAACTTTGGATTGGGCGCTCCGATGCTCTATCACCGAGCCACACTCAATGTTGAGCAAAACCATCACTAGCTAAGTTCATGTGACACGTGTCCTGCGTATTGCTTAGATCGGCTAAGTAGGGTTTTTTTTCACCACAGCAAGCTCTCCTTAGATATCTGGATATCATTAGAATATTTAGAAGAAGAAATTGTTTAAATAAATAGAAAAGTTATGGATATTGAGAAATATCGCGATTTGGCGGGGCTTTCTGTTTTTCTTCGTCATTCTGTTGAGTCACTACTCAGCTCTAAGCCTGAAACAATGCAGTTCTGATGTCTATCGCTTCATTCATGAATGACTTGTGTGTTTCTTACCAGGTTTCGACTGCGAGGACTGATTGTGTTTGTTGCTCTGTTACTGGGTATCAGTTTTACCACCACAGCTGTTATCTATGCTCACTATGACCTTCCTGCTGTTGTAATCAGTAAAGCTGCTTTAGATGCCGCGTGAGAACCAATTTTTTTTACGTTTTTGTTTGCGTTTGTTATGTTTTGATTGTTTATTTGCTTGTTTTTTCCTGGTTTTGCTATGGCAACGAGCTGAAGCTCAGAAGTGTTATCAAACGGTGGAGAAAAAGCGCAAATCTCGATGCCCCTCTTTAGTTCTCACTTTGTCGTATGTCAATGACTTTTTTTGTAGGGGGCGTGGAGTGGATTCCATGTCTCTGACTTACGTCAAGCCTTACTGTCGTATTTCACCGTATCTTGTTGGCATAGTAACAGGATACTTACTTCTTCACGTAAAGGACTGGAGACTTTCCACCAAGGTACGAAATTATGGTGATCATATCTTTTCACATAAATGTTGGTTGACATTTTTGTTGGAACTTGTTTTTGTTGGCGGTGGGAGCCCCTTTTTGCCTGTAAAGAGTAGTTTGCAAGGTGCTAAAGATTATACCTGGGGATAAAATAATTTATTCTTGTGGTGGGAAAAAATTTAGGCTTCGAACTCGTACCTCCTAGATACTAGTTAAGCGCTACTACCAACTGAGCCACGAAGCCACAGGTTGGGAGCGAGGAATATTTTAGTGGCTTGTTCCTTCCCGTGGAGGAATCTGATCACAATTTGGAATGAAATCAAATTGAGTGTTTTACTTCTTCAAGGTTCAGACGTACTTGTTCAACATGGCTGGCTGGTGTGTTGCTATTGTTCTCGCTCTGTCTACTCTGTATGGTCAGTACAAAGCGTTAAGGAAAGACAATCCCGTGCAATTTTCTCGCGCTGAGAATATCATGTACGGAACTTTCTCACGTTTCGCGTGGAGCCTGGCATTAGCCTGGGTGATATTTGCTTGCCATAACGGGCTTGGAGGTACGTGTAAAGCGATTTTCGATAGAGTGTAGCGATATTGTGATCGTTTAACGCTTTTGGTTGAGTTCACAAACGTTACCACCCACTAAGGCCAGTATCATGATGCTATAATAAACTCGAACGTGATTTGCTAACTTGCGTTTTCCCGCGCCCAAGCGCGATTGCTTGTATTTCCCCGAGTTTTCTATGGCTCGTTCTGTGTTTGGCGTGTGGTGTTTAATGTTATAAGGCATGATATATCATAGCAGGTGAACGGGCTCTCAATGGCGGTCTGCGCAACCATCGCGTTGGATTCTCATAAAGTCTCAGAGAGTTAGCCTTTATTGTATGCATGCCATGCGATTGGAAAAAAAACAGTCTCAATTTTTTAGCTTTCATGTTTACGAGATCTCTTACCGGATACGAGAGATGTTCATTACTGGTCGATGTTGCATTAGTGTAGCAATACTCGATTTTATTTGTTCTCTTCTTCTTTTGAAGGCCTGGTGAATAAATTCCTGTCGGCTCGATTCTGGATTCCACTGAGCCGGCTGACGTATTGTGCCTATCTGGTTCACCCTATCATCATCTTTGCTCTGTTTCAGTCGTATGAGACTGTTCGGGCATATTCTGATGTCCACATTGTAAGTGCGACTCGATTTACTGTTTTTCGATCCATGTACTGTCGTTCCTTTCGTAAGAAATGCAGTGCTGTTGCTGTTGAATGTGAACGTTCAGTAGTTACGTAATTGTGTATGTCTTTTTTTCCTTACCAGGCATTTTGTTTTGTCGGTGTACTTGGCATTTCGTATGCAGTGGCCTTTATTGTGTCAGTGTGTGTGGAATATCCCATGATGCAGTTGGAGAAGTTTATTTTTAAAAGTGACAACTGAGCTCAGATGTCATGGATAAAAGTGTCTGATTAAGACCAGTCGTTCCTGCGATGCCATACAACCAATTTTAATAGATGCTCTATTAACAACGTGCAATAATTTTATTTTTTATATATTTCTATAGACATTAAAAAGATAACATATATGAGAATCACAGTTAAAGTATATTCGCTATGATTTTTCAGACTTTTTATGAAATTTGTTAATGAAAAAGTTGATTAAGTATATGATTTATAATTAGCTGCAGAATCTACCTTAGAAACAAAAGTAAACTCAAAGTTTTCCTTAAGATTCGTAACAAAAGCCATTTACAGGGTACGTTTTGGGAGGTTAACATGATACCCTTGCAGGGGGAGGGTACGGCTACACGTAGGCTATATGATACGTTAATGGGTTTGGATATCTTGAGATTCGAAGTAGAAGGACTTAAAGAATTACTTAGTTTTTTTAGCCACGAGATGCCTTTATAAGTATCTAACACAAATCTTCTAAGGTAGGAGTACTTGGTGAGGTAAAATTATTCTTATTGTTTAAAGAGTAATCCAAAAGTGTGGTCAGTATTTAGATAACGTGATTTTTCTTTCTATGTAAACTCGAAGAGTGCCTTAAGATTTCGAACGACTGCGAATCGTGAGGTAATTTTATGAGTTTATTAATTAAGTAATTAATAATGTGGTATCGTTACCAATGTATCTTATTCAGACAATGAAGTTTATACTTTTCTAACTGGAAGTGAAGCTGGCCTCCACAAATATTGACTAAGGAAGTTCTGTTGCCGTTCGACACACTAAATACGTTTTTCCATTCGCGAAAGTGGTTCGTTAAGTATACCTTCTTATTTTCTGGTAGACGTAATCGTAGGTTTTGCCGGCCTTGATTGGAAAATCCCAGTCACACATTTGTATTGAATGCTCTCTCAGGAACCCTCTTTTTGGAGTGACCGAAATACCAATATAAATGACATTGTAATGGTGCTTTATGAAATAAACATTTGATTGTTCTTTTTAGAGTTTTTTAGAACCCTATTGATTAATGTAAAAAAAAACGTTTTATTTTCTTTTTTCTCTTCTTTTTATTTTTTTTTTGTTTTCGTTTTTTGAATTTTGTATTTTTTTTTTTTGCTAAATTTATTCGATACAACCTTTTAGCGACATGACTTTAAGAGTTCCGACAAAAATTTAAATGTTCGTCTGTAATGAAATAGAACCAATAATGTTCCAATTGAATAACCGAAACCAAGGAAGCCAATAGACATGTTGGGGAGCCTCCTTGGCTTTGAAACATATTCGTTAAGTCATACTACACAGGAGAACAAGGTTTGGAAGAATTACTGAGTACACTTGATATCAGTGTGGCCGATGTAGTGGCACTAGGCCGGAAAGTAGCAAAAACAACGAAGGCAACTGAGGCTATGGAAATATACAGGGTTGCTTGGAACATCTCTGTGTATCCCGCCACGTTTTCTATCATTGAATACATTTACCAGCATTTGCGAATCAACCCTCTTGTTTCTTCTTAATCCATTGCCGAGTTTTACCTCCCTAACTAACTCTTTCATCATCCGTTAGCAGTAGTGCCAGTGAAAGCTAACATTCCTCCACGACGACATCGGTGCCACTCAAAGTCCCCCATTTTAGAAATGGCGTTGACGTCCGAGCTTCGAGCGGGCCAAGGGATTGGGGCATATCAGCATCGACAAACCTGTAAAATGTTGCAACATGTTGCAATGTGTACGTTTGGCCAACATCTCCAAACACCATCGAACAATGTCGTAGCATTTGACAAGGTCTTGGAATTTTATCATTATTTTATTCTAATTTGTTCAATGTTTTCACTTCTATTCTAATTCACTGTGGTTCTATTATTCCCCTTTTTATGGAGCTCTGCTGTATTACGCGTGTGCACAGGACAGACATACTTGTATATTGCTTACAAACATAATTTTTGAGTTATTTCGACGTTTTGGTCAAATTTTCACACGGCATACGGTTTCCTTTGAATTAAGGATATTAAGATTTCTTACGCCGGAGTGTTATCAAAATTTTTCCTTGAATAGTTAAAAGCGGCATCTCGGCGTGAATGAGTCTTCAAAGCTATAGTTCGTCTTGCGTATATGTACATAAACTCGAACTCGTACATATTCTGGTCACGAAAACCAAGAAGTGCTTCTATCTTCTCTTGATCCCTCCTAATATTGTTGAAACTTTTTAACCAAAGAGAAAATTAGGATGTCTTCTTAGTATCCGCAGAGAACTGCGGTGAATTGAGTGAATTAAATTCCTCTCCCTTGTTGTAATACACTGCATCATATCTTCTCGTCTGACCTCTGATGCTTTCAGCATAAGATGGTGGGGCTGAAAGAAAAAGTAAGTCGTGATTAGGGGAGCATGATCAAGGTAGTTGGGCGGGTGCTTCATCGGAAAGAAGGGACAGAAACGTTTGGGGCAAAACAACCTGAAATAATGAAAAGATTTTGGGTAAATGATCAATAAATAGAAAGAAAGAAAGTACTGTGCGGTTCCACTCCCACGGAATGAACTTCTGGCATCTTTTCGAGGGGGTTTCTGAAATTGTCTGACGAGTAACCCCGTCACTTTATAGAGGTGTATCCGGAAAGTAAGACTTTTAACCTTCTTCATTAAATGATATCATACCGTCAGAGTGTTCCATAGACGTTGACGGGAATCCCATGAACGTGACACCTGATGATATCGAAGAGTTGGAGCCTTTTAAGGATGGTCTGCGAGATGTACTCACTTGGCAGGGAATGGAGCCGATGGTGATTGGTAAATGGACACAGAAGTTTACGGATCCTCGTATCAGCAGAGTGGACTAGAAGAACAGATTAGGAAATAGAAAGATAGGAGTAATTAAGTTGAAATTGACTCTTGCATTGGGTCTGTTTAACTATTTTCTGTGGTCAGAGGCGTTTTAGAAAACTCACACCACTTTCGCGGTATGGCTCAGAAACCAGTCACTGATTGTCACTCGTTTTTTACTAAAATTTTTCTCCAGACATCTCTTACTACCTTCTTGCTTGTATCCCAACTAAGTCGAAATGCACTCTATTATTTAACATTAATATTAATTACTGCCATGAGTTAATTTTTTGCAATTTGTAAAATTATCTTCACCGTAAACCAAGGAAAAATAGAAAAAAAGAAAGAAATATAGAAAATAAAATCCAGACATGACCGACGATGATTAAGATGGAGCCCGGAAGAGTGCAGGCGGGGTGCCAACGAGATACTTGAAAAATTTAGATAACGTATTTCAAGATGATTCGTGTCTGTTTTGTCTGAGAGCGTCTTTCGGTTATTGGAACCCTGGAAAAACAACTGTGAACATGGAAAATTTACCTTCATTTGGTACGAAATCTTTATACACCTGCAGTTCTTCATAGTTGGCGTTAAGGATGGGATGAGAAATGGCACCATCTCAAAGAAGTCATGTCCGTCTGTGTTCGAGGTCTTATTACAAGCTTTTGTGATAGTTGCGATAGTTTCAGCACTGAAAACCTTTTTACCTAGAGAGAACGGAAAAAAGTAATTCGTTCATGCTAAGTATAACTTGTTAAACGAACTAACGTACTTTGCTTAGCACCGCGTCAGCCAATGAACGTGCGCTAAGGGAATAACTCTGTTGTGAGAAATACACTAAAGGTCGAATGTTCCACCCACCTCCAGATGCGACGAATACAGTGTCCTTAATGAGCTCTAATTCCACTCCAAGAATCCTGTGTTTCGACTGGTTGTTAGCGTACACTGTCACTGTCATAAGTTCACCTCCACAATAGGCTGCTCTGTCTGTCCTGACTGTGACACTCAGTGGCCCAGAGACACAGCACAGGCAACCCATTGTCCGGTCTTCCTGGATTTGAGCTGGGCGCTTAAAGCGAAACAAAACATGATATTGATATCTCTCTTTTCAATCCAAATTTCGTTTTAGTTCAACACAACGAAACTTAGGAACAAGGGAACCTATGGTGATGGTCCGTTGTCCTCTGGGACAAAGCTGCGTCTTGAGCCCCCCCCCACCGCCTCGGTCATTACTGAACGGCAACAGGAAAATTTCCCATTTTAAGATAGGTGTCAAAAGATTAAGCAACGAGGTTTGCATGTGTGTGTGGGTGTGTTTGTTGGTTTTTCTATTTTTCGCGCCTCGGAGTTACTCTTTCGCGCTCTCTTTCCATCTCCATTTGAACGAATGGTGCTCCGAGTTCAAATTCTTTACCATCAGTATTACCATTAATAGTGTAGCCATGCGCTTTATAATTATATATTCATGTAGTTTACATTGTACTGAATGATCGGTGCATGATCTTACGAGAAACTCCGGCTGATTAACATCAATCCTCTCCGTGACGGTGAACGGTTCTACGATCTTAATCTCATCTTTCCACGGCCGATCAAGAATGGCCTTGAGCCAGTATTTCACGTGGCCATGTTTTCCTTCAAATGTGGTGGGAAGGTTGTCTTCTGGGAGCCGAACCTCGAATGGAAAGGAATGCTCCCCACTGGGCAAGACTGGATTTGCGCCGATTTGACCCGGAACTGTTAAGAGATTAATTTCATAGTAGAGTGAAAATAGATTCCTTAACTCCGGCTGTGTACGTTCAGTAACATGTTACAGATGACGTACGTCTACTAACAAGATGTGTTACAAACAGAACAAATGGCACACGAGGCGCAGCCGAGCCTGTCTCTGCATTTTAGAGATCGACAGATCTTACCCGAAAGTTCTGATCAAGAGCGAATGTAATATCGATTTTACAAGCTAACTCTAAGTAGTTAAATTGAAAGTACTTGGAGATGACATTTGCTTTGGAAACGTATTTTTGCATGAAGTGACGGAGAGCCTCGAGGGGTCGAATATGATAACCTGTTAAACAAAATCTTTTAATCCAACCCCCTGAAAACTTAAAGATCTCAACAAAATGTTGTGCTTTTTTATTTCTTTAATTTGCCGTCAGTGTCTGCAAGCAAATTTTCTTCAGTCATGAAAGTTATCAAGTATCATTCAAGTGAATAGGAATAAAGAGATATCAGTTCACAGTGAATTATAAGCTGCAGTAAACAGCAGTATATATTTGAAATATGCCCAGCAAAGCATTTGCAACTGAATATTAAGATAGCCAATGCAACAAACCGCAAAGTTCAGTTGTATATTATGCGGCAATGCAAAATCGAAGTGACTTATGACTCAAGAGCCAGCTGATTTTCACCGATCAATATTGCGATCAATTATGCATTTTAAAACACCCGCAGTATTCAATATTTACAAGCTAGGTACAGTGGCTTCTTACCCTTTCCATAAACTGTTACTGCAATGTTTAAATACTGCTCGTAATTCGAGTAATCACGCGTTCCAAGTCGCTTCTTTCTCGCCGCCTCGGACCATGAAACCTTTGCTTCCCCATAAAACTCGATGCGAATTTCTCTGACCGTCAGTTCTTCATTTGTCTTCAAATATACGTCGCCGTACACAACATCTCCCGGATAAAAACATCCATCCCCGTAAATTTCAACTGCAAACAACTCTATACTTTCCATGATAGTTCTGTACACTACATGGTAAAATTTAGCTTGAAGATTGAGCTGTTAAACGAATGTTTATGATTGGAAAACGTTTCCTCAATTGCTTGCTCTTAAAAGTCGCGTTTAGACATATTCGCTCGTAATCCTTGATGACAACATATTTATGTATAAAGAGACAGAGTCACTAGAGCGGAGAACTTATACAGAAATTTGCATATTCTAATTTTCACATATTTGCTGATGGGTAAAATAGCTTGGAGACCTGATCGCAGCTGAAACAAAAGAAGCCTCAAGCATACGTTGTTTAGATGAGTTTCTCTGGGTAATAGAACAAAGTGGCTTCCCACTTCGATACGGTTTGTTGGAGGAAAATAACCTCTATCATTAAGGCGGCTGTCGCATATTAATAATACCAATAATAATAAAAATATTAATAATAATAATAATAATAATAATAATAACAATATTAATAATAATAAGGACAACAACAAAGCGGTAAGCTACTTCATCTTTCCTAATACAGGAAATCAAGTCTCCATAACTGTCAAGCAATTATAATATATCTGATCTTAAAGTAAAAAAAACACGCGGACAGTTAAACAAGAACATTATCAAAATTCCCTAATATGGAGAGAGAGGGAATACGGAAATTTTTGCGTAAAGAAATCGCTCATCAAGAATAAGCGGCGAAATTCTCTGACCACATGTTAACTTCTTTTCAGGAGCATGGAGTACATCAAGCTCCTCATTAACATATTGTTAATCAAGTTACTGCGTTGCTGCAAATCGATCACCGTGCTTTTGTTTCAGTTGTTGGATTTTATTTGTAACTTTAACTTAATAAATTTCGATTTGAATTACCAATATTTCTAGTTACACTATGGAACTTTTTTGATATTCAAATAACACCCTATTCCTAATTACTGACCTACTAGAAGATTTATATATTAACATAACAATTCATCAAAAAATTCTGAATAAATCACTGAATCATTTTTTATCGCGTCTCTGTTCATAGTCATAAACCGACAGCAAAATGTACATTTGGGAAAAACGCTGCTCAAGGTAAAGTTAAAATCACTAATCCGAATCGTAAAACATTGTTCTAAAAATAGTTATCATAGACAGAGAAATGATACAAAAAAAAATCTGTATCTACTTCATTCGCGGGCTCAAAATTGACGGTCTCCTAATTCTAATTATTGAAGATCTTTTACCCCATTTAGAACCCACAACTTGAATAAATATGATATATCAGGCTAATTCCAGAGTCTAAAACAACTTATATACCTTTTTGATAAAAAGTACTTAAACTCTCAAGGCATCATCTTCATGACATTTTTAACTTTTTAAACTGTTCTTCTATTTCTATAATAATGTATTTATTTTTACTTATTGATATCTATATTTGTATCAGTATTACCAAATGTATTGTAAGAGGGCTACAAGTTTATTAACCCTTTGGCTATTAAGTGCTACCCTCTTTAAATAAAGAGTTAACTTGCTTACTTAATTAATTACTTACTTAGTTCAGCTATCTACATTGAGACGAAATTAATCAAACATATTGATCACCTTCTCATTTCAAACGGAATATGAAAGTCAATTGCTAGAAAGTTTAGGTCTTATTTCAAGCACCCATCTCCACCACACTCTGATTACATTGAGAGCAATTTTCAATTGAGGTCATCGAGAGTCCAAAGATGTCTATTATTACATTGAGGTCTAAATTTTTCGCATTTTTCATCAAAAACCGTCTCAGTCTAATTCATCATTTGTCCAGGTTCCTTCTCAGTAAATTCTTACTCATTTTTTTGTCCCTTTTTTTAAAATTAATTTAGCTGGGCTAATGTGTAATCATCTTTGAGCTGGAGGTAATTTTAACGTGTTACAATAAAAAAGAAATTAGAAAACTTGACATAAAGTACTTTGACGTAACTGAGGGGAAACAATAAGCACTGACTAGTACTTCGATGCATGAAATTGTACAAATGTTCAAATTTAAGGCAGAGGCACTTTACTAGATGAGACTTGTGGCTGTTGAGCAGCAGCCACAGTAGCAGAGTCTTGGCTTGCAGCAGAGGGAACCTCGTAATGGCTAACAAACGGATACATTGGAGTGAAGGTTGAGTCACTCATCATGTCGTTGGAATCATTCTCGTCACGAACAGACACCCCACCATACACACATTCTGCGTACGATGGAAGAGCTGTAGAGAAAAAAAGATAAATCAATAAATGAATTGTAAGAAGATTGTGACAGGAGACTTCAACGAAAAACTACTGTTTGTCTAATTCAAAACTCTTGTCTAGATAATCACTTACCCACACCAGGGTATGTCTGACCTTCAGAGTAGGGGGGAGGGGAGAGTGGGGGAGCTGAGGGTTCCACAGATGTTGGAAGAACTGGTGGTTGGTAAGGTACAGAGCCTATTGTTAATGGAACTGATAGAATAAGGTCCTTTGCTCTCCATCCACTGACATGGAGGATGAACTGCAGGTGGAAAAATTGAACATCAGTGCATCACATTGATTATCTGCCAGTTACAAACACCAATAACACCATTCTGAGCAGCAATCATAATGTGTAGTCAGGCTAACCAGAAACGACTTTGTTTAAATTATAATTTATCACCCAGTTATGAGAATGAAAGCATTTCAAAATGATAATAATAATCTAGAAACCATATAATTATATCTTCCTCATTAACAATCATATATAAATTTTTCCAGAGATGTTATTTCAAATGAAGAACCAAGATAAAATCTTACTTGACTTCTGCTTAGGTTATTGAAATGTCAGTCACCACTACCACCAACAGTCCTCCTCAGGACTACAATCACCTAGACGATCATACTCCATTGCCACATGTGACCCTCAGGCTCAAACCATTTGCATAAATAATATATGCAATCTTTAATATTAATAACTTAAAGATTTTCACCTTAAAAAAGGTAAAATTACTTTCATTTAATTATTTAATTGGCATTATGTAACCTAATCTGACTCCTTGTTGCTCAAAATTTTGGTGCCAAGAAGCAATCATGTTTGATACACATAAGATTACCTTCACTTCATATGATATCTTAATACAGCTACAACTTGACATTGTGGGGGGAAGGGAGGGAATTTTAAGTGGTACCATCTCCAGGTGATGATCTCCAACTCCTCTAATCTCATCTCTTTTTAATGAAGCCACAATTTCATTTACATGCTTTCCTGATGTTTTACCTGAACTCATACCTAAATTAAAAGTAGATGGAAAAATAAAATAGATTTATTTGTATTACCTTGGGTAAGGAATACTTATTAATAAAACAAATATTTAATACTGCACTTCCTGATTTCATTTTGCTTCATCACAGATGAAATAAATGAGGTTGTACTGTAGTTAGCTTAATAAGAGTTGTAATTTTTCAATTATTTTCTGACAACAAGTTAAGAACTGAGGTATGGAGTGTGTTATCATGAAAAGATTAATATCCCTACTTGGGAAGGGTAGCAATATTGATTTCTTAGTTCATTCATCTTCACCCTTCCAAAACTGACAATAATAATTTAGCAGCAGCAGACTACTTTAAGGCTTGAGACACTAGGCTACTTCAATAACTCCATTCTAATTCAACCAACCATTTAATGGCTGTTACCTCAATTAGCTGCTATTCTTTTCCACCCACCCTTAACTTACCACCCTTAATTGTGTAGACTGAAATTTGATACAGAATAATCTCTGCCCCACTGAGTCCGCAGCCTGATTGGTTGTTAATGAATGCTGAAAATGCAATAGATTCCCCTGGACAGTAACCTCCTCTGTCTGTTTGAACAGTCACATTTATAGGGCCAGCCAAGCAAGCAAATCCATACTGTTGTTCTTTTTCAACTTGACAAGGTTGCTAATTGGACAGAAAAACCATCAAAACATATATAATTTATTACAACCCTGGAAATTTGAATCCAAAAACTCATTTAAGTTTTTGTTTTAACTGAAAGTTGTCCCCCATTTTGCACTAAAAAAGGGTACTTTAACTTCACTGTCAAGTATAGGAGACTGAAAAATTTCCCTGCCATTCTGCAGAACTTTCTGCTTTCTACCCAAATTCTGATGGTGTAGACATTTCTCACTCAGACATGGTAAATAGTCTCTTTTCAATTAATACACTTTTATCCTCCTTCAAGCTTTTCCAACCTTACACCCTTAAACATCAATATACACACTCTCCATATTGTTCTCTATACAGGTCCAAGAGCATCTTTAGTTACGCCCATGACCTTTCAGTTTGATACTTTAGTGATACTGTGAGGAGAAATTAGATGCTAGTCACTCTAAGGGATTGAAGAGTTTTAATTAAAACTTGGACAGTATTTTTGTGGACAGTACTGTGAAACTTAAGACAGCAAAATATTTGTTGGTCATTTAATCATAAGCTGACACTTACCAATAAGCCTGGTGTTAGATTTATGTCAACACGTTCAATAACAGTGAACACTGATTTTGTTGTAATGTCAAATCTCCATGGACGATCGATGAAAGCTTTAAGCCAGTATCGCACATGACCAAAGTTTCCTTCAACGGATGTTGGTAGGTTATCACTTGGCATGTGAAACTGGAATGGAAAGCTGTACTCTCCAGGCCCTAGCACTGGATTTTCACCAGACTGCTCAGGTGCTAAAAGAAGAGTGTGTCATTTTAAATTCATTTTAAAAAATGCATATAATTTTTTACTTCATAGCAGTGGCATTATTATTAGCTCTTAGAGGTAAAGTATAAACTAAGTGCACAAACTAATTGAACCACACCCCTTGGCCTCTTTTGCCAACTGAGAGAAGTAACTGTTGCCAAATCTTGGCTGGTAAGTGGCTGATGAAAACAGCACACAGGACCTGAGCTTTTTAAAGTTAAGACCGAATTTCAATATGTTTCATACCATATAAATTTAAATGCCTCATTATTTTTGCACAGCAAAGTCATAGCAGCGGACTTAATCTCTGCTTTGTTCATGATTATTTTGTAAACACTGGGCTTTTATTAGTTCCTCAAGCAAGAAGTTGTGGTGGATTGAAACAAACGATTATTTCTTTATAATATGTTACAGATGTAAAATATTAACAAGAAAACTGTGAATATTGATCTCTATTAAATATAAATCTAGACATTGATAACTGAGAAGTCTAAAGTAGGCACAGGCGGTTTACATAATAGTCCTCTCTTGGACTGAGCACTTTGTTCACCATGCAAATCATAGGAGTAGGATAGGGCTTTTATACATGTAGCTGAAATTGAATGACTGTAAGGCATGGGTTCAAAATGGTCGCCTCGTGTGATACATTTGAACTGTTTCACTTTCTCAGAACTGGCACCAATTAACTTTTATTACACATTTCATGTTTTACTACCATTCCGTTCTTAGTTAACCAGTACCTTCAAATCATCACCCAACAAGCTGAATGACAAAGTTAAGTCACTCCACCTGTCTGGCCCCTCAGTTCAAGCTTCAGAGTCAATGCCTCTTTAATTTAGTAAGCAATTCAAACATTGTTTTTTCCACAGACCAGTTAGTTAGTTACACAATATTTTTGAAGTGAATATTAATCTCTATAAATATGAATCTAGACATCGATAACTGAAAGGTCTGGACTGGGTACAGGCAAGGTGCATATTAGCCTTTCCTCAATTTGAGCAATTTGTTCAGCATGCAAGTCATAAGACTAGGGTAGAGCCAATGACTATTCACCATGCCAACGCGTTTTAATGGCGAAATTATTTCTACTGTTAGTTATCTAGCAAGCAAGCAAGCAAAAAGCTTATTTCTAGCTTTAAGAAAGTTTTACTAGTTTCCCTTCCACCCACACCATCGACAGTTTTGATTGTATCTTAATCTCATTCGTGTTTGTAATTTATTCTCGATTAGTGGACCGTTGGTTTAGTGTATTCGTCAAATACCTTTTGTGTAATAGTGTAATATTCTATTTACGTAGGATATATACATTTAATAACCTGTCTGGTCCCAAAACAAGCCTCAGTCTGTTGTGGTGTTTAGGCGAGTTGACGCGTGTAAATATTACGCAGGAAATCCCTAGAAACCTAAGCCAAACTGAGTCTACCATGGCTATCAAATTATCATCTATCTATAACCATATCGCTAATTCTTACAACTTCTTTGCACTAAGCCTTAGAAGCTTTGACAATCAATAAGTAAAAATTCTGTCAATTTCTAAATCATATCATATGTTTTCTCTGCTAATGTCATAAGCTTCTGTAATTAATAATAACATCAACCCGCAAAGATCTTGAAGCTGTGTAAATAGCAACAGAAGTGTTTAAATGACTAACCTTTCCCATACAAGGTGGCTACCAGGTTAATGTACTCTTCACTATTGGCTGGGCGCTTTCTCCTATGATTTCCGCCAGACAAGTAGACCTTCGCTTCCCCGTGGAATTCCACTCGAATGCCGCGAAGTTTAAGATCGCTGTTTACCTTAACGTTAACATTACCGTGGATAACTTCACCAGGGAAGAACGTTGTCTTATCACCCTGAAATACAACCTTAAAAAAATCAACTTTTCCCATTAGAAAGAGCAGTACACCATAAGCTGAGTAGGCAAATTGCCAGCCATTTTTAGATGCCGGAAGAAAAAAGAAGGGTGAAGGAGGTTCGAGAAAACACTAGTACCTAGACTTCTCTCTTTTCGCTATTTTTGGTATGTCACGCAATACGTGAGAACATCCCGTTAATGAAGGCACCGAGACAGGAGTGTCGAAACTTTGGGTCTATGAATTGTAACTTCTTCGGTTACATTCATTAAATCTGTAAACCAGAGAAGCATCAAACCATATCCCGTTATGAGATAGATAAAATGTCTTGAATCAGAGAGGACAAAAAAAAATGATTAGAAAAAGATAAAATGAAAATGTTAGATGAAAAAGCAAATGAATAAACCAACGAAAACAAACAAATAACAGAGCGATAAAAGGCGAGCTCCTAAAAAGCGAAAGTAGCGCATTTTATGCTACTAGCAATGCCCAACTTTTCCAAATTATGCTCAAAATAATATTCGTTTTTTATACACGCTTTTTAAATGAGAAACACTGGTTCGTTAGGAAGGAACCAGTGATAGTTTGTCATTTACCAGATGAATCTTAGCTTGTTTGCGTACTTTTTTTTTTCTTTTTTTTGTGCAATTATTCGAGTATTCTAAAACTGCGAGCCTTTGCAACTTTGTTTGAAAAAAATCGAGTTTTCGATTTATAATCGGTGTATCTAGAGTAGGATGAACGAGCACCAAACTCGATGTATTGGGAGTTGTTTGCGTGATGAATATTTACATCACGTTAACATCAACACATCATCAAACAATGAAGTTGCTTTCAATAATGGTAATATGTTTTCGCCTAAACAGGCATATCGTGACGCATGTTCTCTGGTGTGGTTCAGTGCTCCGTGAAATCTTCCAGTCATATGGTGAGTTCAATTTTGAACAAAATGTACTTAAATATTTTTCTCTAAGTCACATCAACGTGTATCTGATGTCGCAACATTTTTGCACCCGTGAGTATCACTGTTCTTTACTCTGTTCTCGTGGTTAACTTCGCTCCATCTGATGGCGACCATTGACCTTTAAGACAGCAGAAATTGGGCGAATATATCCATTTTTTGGCTTACTTTAAACTTTTGATACTTTTTTTGAGCAACCCATGAAAATTTTGAACGCATGAACCTCGACTAATATTCGATTGGTTAGGGAACATTGGCGATAGAGGTTACAAGCGCATTGTGCGAACATGACGAAAACGCTGTGCTTTCGATGAAATAAAAAGGTTACATTCCAAATCAGTTTGGATCCCGTTAGTTGAGAATTATACTTGAACGGAATGATGATATCTTAAATTAAGCAATCCATGTGCGTGTCAAGTTTAGCTTCTAGGACCAAAATAAAGCCGGGGTTGCATAAAGATTGAAAGCTCTGAGTCGAACGGGCCGATCGCTGAAAACTACCGATGCAACAAAATATTCAGTAAATGGTTAAGAATATATGAAAGACATATATTTGAACTGCGGATAAAGATGTGAATGAAAGTGATCCTCGCAGTGATGTGCACTACTTAGGCAGTTGTGAAAATAAGGCCTGAAAGAAATTCAGGCCTGTACGGGATTTGAATCCATGACCTCTGTGATACCGGTGCAGCGCTCTGTACGGGATTTTAATCCATGACCTCTGTGATACCGGTGCAGCGCTCTACCAACTGACCTAACAAGCCAACTGGGAGCTGGTCATGAAGTTGGTTCTAAATAAACCCGTGAAGAGATGAATAAATAAAATAATGAATAAATTTTTTTCAGGCCTTATTTTCACTACTGCCTAAGTAGTGCACATCACTGCGAGGATCACTTTCATTCACATCTTTATCCGCAGTTCAAATATATGACTTTCATATATTCTTAACCATCTCTTCACGGGTTTATTTAGAACCAACTTCATGACCAGCCGAGTGAATATCTCTGGTGGCAGCAAGATAGCGTGAATAAGCGTGGAATGTAAATGGGGATTCACTGTCTTTTACCGTTCCTTTGAAATCTTAAAAGTGTTTGCGGGCCTGTGCGACTCCTGTCATTCCTCCGTGACAAATTCGTTGCTAGGAGGCGACTGAAGAGATTCAGAAAGAATTGAAACTGCAGCCATGCCCGAGAATCTATTCATTTGACAGCAGCTACACTCACAGCCGATGGCTTTGTGAATAATATCAAATTCGCGAGCCATTTAACGGGGAATCGACCCTTGTCATGCAAACGCATTATAAAGAGACAGCAACCTTCTAATACACGAACTATTCTTCATATTATACATTTAATAGCGTAGATAAGGGATTCGCGAAAGGAGAAGCCTTACGCCTCCTAAGAACAAATTTGTCACGCTCAACGTTTAATAAAAAACGTACAGAGTTTCAAATATGCTTAAAGAATAAAGAATACTTAGAATAGGGGTTTGAGAAACGTATCTCTGGAGTTATTTTCTGCGAGAGAGACTGATACTTGAAAACAAACAAAAAAAATAGTGCGCACACATGCAAATATCACCTTTTGTAACACAATCTCAACGGGCTTTGCTAAACCTCAAGAACATACAGATGGGGGAATGACACCTTAAAACTAACCCTTAATATCACATCGCAAACGAAAGTCATTAGAGGGTATCCTAATAACAGCTAAGCTTTCAGGTCAAAAGATTTAAAACGCAAGCGAAAGGCAGGAGTCGCACAAGCCTATCAACACCGTTTAACGATCGACTGCCTTTTGCTTTCTGGCTTTCCCGGCGTGTTGCCGTGTGCAGTGTAGAGTTATTCATTGGTCAAGTGACTCCTTTCATGGCTCACATTCAACTGTCCTTCAGTCAATGATCGAGATAGTAGATTTACCATACAATACTCACGATAAGTTAATTTGCTTTTACTTATGAAAGCAGATTTACAATAGTAACAATAGTATGCAATAGTAACGCTGTATAACGCAACAACAGGCCTTTTCTCGACCGTAAACGGTCTCAAACACATGCACCATTAAAGAGCGTTTGGTCAGTGCTGTTAAAGAAGGATCAAAGTGGCCATCGAAATCTTTGAAAGGCTCCAAACTACGACGTACATCAAATTTGACCGTCTCTAAACCCGGTCTCAAATTACATACTAAAAACAGTGATTGCGTTTGTCCTTGAGAACCATTCAATACGCGACAAATACGTATAAAAAGACTTGGTAAAATTTCCGCACAGTTCCATACTATTGTAAAACAAATCTGTTTTCCCAGTGGAAATGTAATGTTTTTGTCATTGTTTTCTCTATCCAAGAACTGAATGCATAATGTAGTATGGTGCAGACCATCTCTTTCCACTATCGATTTTATTTGACTGCGACCGTGCGTACCTTTCTTGCCTAAAAAGAACGTTCGTGACTCCAGCACGCAACTGAACGAGGTAAGCTTCGATTTAAGAAGAAATCTTAGTCAACAGAGCCAATCTTCGCACAAACACAGCTTTGCTTGTTGCTTCAACGAGTCATTTCGATTCCGGCAAATCTTTAAAAAGTAAGGGCTATAAGAGAGAAAAGTAAAATCACAGACCGGAAACACCGATGGTTTTCCTTGCACAGGTAGATTGTTGACTTCGGTCTCATCTGAAGTTTCGTCAGTAACCATTAAGTTGCCTTTACTCTGGCGAATCTCGAATTGCTCATCAGCACGATGTTGACGTTTATTTTTCATATTATTTCCATGTTTCCTCTTGCCGTGATTCTCAGGCACTTTCATGGCTGTTCCACAAACTTCAAGCGATTTTCATGAGTTGAGGTTTCGAATTCAAGGTGGCAATTTGCAATGAACATGCAATGAGTATTAAGATATCAGACCTAAATCGAATTTGATGCATAAAATCATCGTACTGTTAAAGATTCTGCTTTCTTTCACTTTTACATGAAAAATCGCCTTCCATGTGGCGTGCGTAACAAGCGGTTTTGTGTGCGCTTGACTGTTTTTAAGTGCGTTAAGCGATAAGCGACGAAGCCTCGAGTGGAAGCTTCTGCCTTCAGCCTCCCCGGGGACGCTTGTCATCGCTGTAACGCACACAAATCAGCCAGTTCCAATCCCATACAGGCCTGAATATTTTTTCTTTCAGGCCTTATTTTGACTACTGCTCGGGTAGTGTTCATTACTATCAAGATCGCTTTCATATTCACGTCTTTATCCGCGGTTCACATATATGATTTTCATATATTCACAGTCATTTATTCTAAAGAATATTGCTTATGTATAGAAAACAATAGTGGTACTGAATATGATAGCGATCTTCGCAGTAATGAACACTACTTTAACAGTAGTGAAAAGAAGGCCTGTGCGGGATTTGAACCCATGACCTTGGCGATACCGGTGCAATTTTTTTCAGGCATTCTTTTCACTACTGTTAAAGTAGTGTTCATTACTGCGAAGATCGCTATCATATACACGTCTTTATCCGCAGTTCAAATATGACTTTCATATATTCACAGCCCCAATAGAAGTACTCTAACTTCAATTGAAGCACAAAGGGCCGCGCTGGAATCAACCTATTTTAGCCGAAATACTTTCCGCACGCGTATGATGCAACCGGTCCCAGAAGTAATGTAAAGAAAGTTAAATTTTTGTAACATATGCAGTGAATCTAGCGACCCTTTACCTCGACTGAATGTTTTATTGCATAAACGTTCGTCTGTAAACGCGTAATTATTTAATGCATCAGTAGTTTTCAGCGATCGGTCCGTTCGTTTTAGAGCCTCTGATCTGTCTGCAGCCCCGGTTTTATTTTAATCCTAAAAGCTAAATTTGACACGCACTTAAATGATTTCTTAAAACATCATCATTTCGTTCAAGTACAATTCTCAATTACCAGGACCCAAAAACTGAGCAAGTAATACGAAAAAAACAATTACGTAAGGGTGTGAGATGAATAGAAGAGCGGAGACGCATAAATTATGACTGATTATGCAGTTGTTAGCGGCTGGCAATCTCTATCTAAACATTCCAGAACAGAACATATGAAAAATTATATTTTAAGAGTGGGTCCCATCTGTCTTCGTGCTCTACCTAAGTAGAAATTTCAAAGACTATTTCATAGACAGCTGCTGAACATTTTGATGCGAGAGGATACTTATTTTGACGTCCATACTTAAATTGATAAATTTAGAAAATTACAATCTTTTTAGCTTCATTTGTTGTTGTTGTTGTTTATTTCGCGTTTAATTTTATTCTAGTTGTAACATGTAATACCTAATTGGCTTATCGTTAACTTATCTTGCTGTTTTTCACTGTTCGTATATGTGCATGCTTTCGTAGTCATTTCCTCTTTTTACTTAAACTTGTTATTGAAGAATTTATTTTAATGTTTGTTTCCCTCCCGCCTCGATGAATTTCGCTGGTCGGGATTGTTAGATATGTATTTTAATTGCTAAAATAAATAAATTTGTTTTGTTTTTTGTTTTTGTTACCCATTGTTTGTCACGTAAGATACGGCGTTAACCTTTAGTTTCAATTTTCACCAATCATCAATTGTTATTTTTGACCAAAAAATAGACTGCAGCAGAATATCAAAGCACCAAGTGATTGCATATGATGATTAAGTGGAAATTAGACTGATTTTAATTTTCCTCCATTCCCCCACCCCCCCTCCCAACCATTTTTTTTATGACAATATCCATCTTTCTTTCGAACTCTTAATTCAAGAATTTAATCAGTTTCGGCTGAGTGATATTTTCGAATCCCTGACTTATCTTAAATCGTCATTTACCCGAAAGTTGTCAGGATTAAAAGAAGACACAAACAATTAAATATCTGGAGACAGAACGTTTGTCAAAGAATTGAAAAAGTTCTGTTGGTGGTGAGATTTAGACGGACTTCTTGTTTGAACGAAAGTCCATTATAAAATGTGTCATGCTTTCGCCATAACCCAGTTTATTTTGAGATTAGTAGTTGTACCACGGATTTTGGGACATTGTGAACCATCCCACGCGATTTACTTCCATTCCCATGTCTTCTTTTCAGATGTTTCTTTTGACCAAAAACGTACGCTTTTCTCGACGAACTTTGGTTCCAGTCTTTCAACGGTTGTTAAGCTTGAATGTGCTGAGCGATCACAAAGACATTCGTACACTTGAATGTCATAATGGCGAAAAGGTTTGTGTTCATGTTATTCTTGTCAAGCGTGCAATTTGCTCTTTGTCTTTGCAATGTCTGTTTGCAATGAGGTATAAGATCTGATTACTGAACAAGTCACGGCTAAAAACGCAAAAAATATATACCCAGTCTCCTAGCTTGCCGACCCTAAAAAACTTTCTTCTTCTACCTGTGTGCGTAATAATGTGTTATATAATTAATTTACGGAAATTGAAATTTTAGCATCTTATTAAAGACAGGAGGCCAGAAGCTAAAAGACTGAGTCGTTTTAGGCAAACAATTCTCATCTCGAGGAAACGAACTAACAAGCTAAGAGTGTACAAGGGCTCATACCCAAGCCAACAGTTACTCATCATCACGCTTTTCCAATTGTAGGTGAAACCAACCTTCTCGTCCCAAGAAATGCAACGCCGTCTGGACATGATTCGACGCCATATGGAGACAAACGGGATTGACGCATGCGTATTTACATCCTATCACAACATACATTATTACAGCGATTTCCTGTACTGTTACTTTGGTCGGCCGTATGCGCTCATTGTCACCCCGTCGAAGACGACAAGTGTTTCTGCTGGTAAGCTTTGCTGTATAATCTTCTTCTTTTCCCTATTTTTTAAAATTTTATTTTTCAGTAAGGTTCTGGTAGTAATCATTGATCGCCTTGGAGTGGGAAGGGGGGGGG